GGAGATAAGAGTCTCACAGACTTTCCTGCCTGGGCTGGCTTTGAACTGTGATCCTCAGATCTCAGCCTCCTGAGTAGCTAGGATTACAGGTGTGAGCCATCAGCGCCTAGCTTGCTCCCCATTTTTGAAGCTGCACACAGTGCTCATCACTGTCAAATGGACATTTACTAAACCCCTACTAAGTAGCACCAGCCATCGTACTGTCTGTCCCTAGGACCACATCAATGGGATGGAGTATTCAGCTCCCTCAGTTTAAACGGCCTTCTGCTATCATGCACAAAGACAATGCTGGAGAGTTCTGAAGTCAGCTGAGGCTTCAAATTCCTGGCACTGAATGAAAAATTTGGTAATAACTTGTTTTCAGTAGTCTTTTCAGTTCCGTAGCACCAGTGCTTAGAGGACAACCCACCTGAGGAGGTCCAATGGTTCTCTGCCTCTTCTAAAAGGCTCTCTCAAACTATTTGCTAAATTTAGGGCTTCAGGCTCAGAAGATGTATATACTTTCAACACACTCATGTTGCGCACAAGACAGACTGTCAGCTCTCTGACAAGAGGTCAGGTTAGAAGTTCCTCAATTCTGATGTCTTATGACTGTGGGTGTTTCCTTAACTTAAAAAAAAAATCAGGGGCTGGGAAGGTGGCTCAGTGGTAGAGCCCTTGCCTTGCATGCCTGAGGCCCTGGGTTCGATTCCTCAGCACCACATAACCAAAAAGAAAAAAGCCGGAAGTGCCGCTGTGGCTCAAGAGGTAGAGCGCTAGCCTTGAGCTGAAGAGTTGAGGGACAGCGCCCAGGCCCAGAGTTCAGGCCCCACGACCGGACCCCAAAAAAATAATAAATCACCAGTTAGAAGCCAGCCACTGGTAGCTCACTTCTGTAATCTTAGCTACTCAGGAGGCAGAGATCCGAGGATCAAAGCTTGAAGCCAGCTTGGGCAGGAAAGTCAAGCAGGTTTCCTAAGACTATCTCCAATTAACCACAGGGAAAGTGAAAGTGAAGCTGTGGCTCAAAGTGGTAGAGTGCTAGCCCTGAGCAAAAATGCTCAGGGACAGCGCCTGGGCCCTGAGTTCAAGCCCCCTGATCACTACCACCACCAACAAAATCACGAGTTAGAGCCCAGCTTTGGAACTAATTTCTATCACTTGAAATACTTCAGGCTTTCACAGCACACCACGAAGCTGTGGGACTCAAAAGCATGATGCTCTGAGGAGCTGCCCACCCCGAACATTTACATCTCCTGGGAAGAGTGACACACCTCATGGTTCAGACTAGCTGCAATGCAAAAGTGTTTTCCTAATAGAGTAAAATGTGGATCCCACACCGGATACACAGTGGACAGTCATCAATCAATCTCTTCCTCTCATTGCTCCTCTCCCCCTAGCACTGATACCTTCAGGAACACTCCCGGTTACTTTTCTGTGTTCCTGCATTCATGCCTGGAACCTCTCTTTTCCATAGCCGGAAACCTGGAACCTCACTTTTCCCCCTCCAATCTGCAGGAAGCGCTCAGACTGCACAGGGCACAAAAAGCCTGGCTAGAGGCTTTTTGGTCACATCACTTCCCAGCGACTGCGGCTTGCCCAGGGCCACCGAGATCCTAGCAGGGGCACATGTCCCCCCAACCCACTCACCATTCTCTTCCTCTTGGCACCAGTGCAACACTAGAGTCTCCCTTGTAGACCCTGACTTCTGGAGCCACCCCTTTGGGCTGTGCTCTGACTCATGATTTCTATTTTTGGGTATCTGGTGAAAGCCTCATTCTCTTTTTGTGCTTCTAGATTTCCTGCTGTTATTCTCAGCTTAATTCTATCTCTAGCCTTGACTCTTGGGGGACCGAAAAATGTCACATCGTGATGGAAACAGTAGCACTGAGTAAGCCATGCTAGCATGGCTCGGACACCCGCCATGGAACCCGAATTCCACAGGGCAGTGATTGGAAATGAGCAGGTGCAAGAGCACGGGCTAGAAAGACACCAGAGTCAATCTGTATGCTCGGTCTTGAACCAATATGTGGTGAGTTGCCAGGTCTCTCTCAGCACTCCCCAGCCCCAAAACGAATGAACAGCGTGCTAGACCCAAAGGGGCTATAGACAAAGAACAAGAAACAGCCCTTTCCTTGAAGAAGTTGTACCTTTTTGGTTCAACATATGAAAAAAAAATATCCAGTGCATAAAGCGTGACAGTACCTAATTATAAAGGTTAATTTGGTAGTGAAATGAGCCTGAACACACTCGTCATTTCTCCTGACTTAAAAAAAACAAAAACATCTATAAATGGTGCTACTATTCAAAAACCCATTTGCTCCCATTCCCAGGCACCACGGCTTGAAACCTCGCTGTTAATTCCCCTCCCCCCCACCCCACCTCCCATTCTCCCTTCTCCTCCTCTTCTCTAATCTCTCCGTTTCTTGTCTTCTGGTGGACAAAAGAGATTAGAACTTAGATTCGGGGCTGGGAAGGTGTCTCAGTGGTAGAGCGCTTGCCTTGCATGCATGAGGCCCTGGGTTCAATTCCTCAGGACCACATAAGCAGAAAAAGCCAGAAGTGGCGCTGTGGCTCAAGTGGTAGAGTGCTTGCCTTGAGCTGAAGAGCTCAGGGGCAGGGCCCAGGCCCAGAGTTCAAGCCCAGGACTGGCAAAAAAAAAGAACTTAGATTCGATTCTAGAACTTCTCCATTCTATATAAAGCACCAGAATCAACGGTCCAAATATTTCTGATTTCATCAGCTACACAACAAATAGGGACTTGAAAGTCAGGAGCTTGTGGCTCCCACCTGTACTGCTACCTACTCAGGAGGCTGAGATCTGAGGATTGTGGTTCAAAGACTCCCCAGGCAGGAAAGCCTGTGAGCTTCTTTTTTTTTTTTTTGGTCCGGTCATGGGGCCTGAACTCTGG